AATAAGTAAGCGTGTAGATATGCTTCAGTGTGTCAGTCTTGTGTGAACATCAGCCAAAAACATCTGCCTGACGCAGATGCCGTTCAGCTGCGAGCCATATTAAGGTTATATTGCACTGGAATCAAGAATTTATTTTGGACTTGTATTCTCAAAAAAAGGACATTCCATCGGTAGGATGTTGTTCAAAATTCACTAGCCAAGCTAGGGCCAGGCCAGCCAATAGCATTTTGCTGTTTCCTTGGGCCCCAAACAAAGTACTTGAAGCAGGAACCGCAGCGCCCTCTCCGCTTTATTGTCTCCTGGAGGCTTGCGCAAATTCAATTACTCAAAATCGATGCTAAGGAGACAAAACGTGTTCCAGTTTTTACAAATCATTTTCCACTTATGTGCTCTTTCACACATTTTCGTCTTCCCACTCCTCCCGTTTTCACGCTAACATTACGACGATGAAGTTGGTGAATAGGACCATTACCAAATACCCGGAAAGCAGGGGGCGGAGGAGAAAAGGGGAAGGGAGGGAGAGGGGGAGAGAGTGCAAATAAACATTTAAATGAAGGGACATAATGCAGAACAAATATGCAGAACGATGAGACGCGCAGTGACGCATTCTGAATTTCCTTTTTCGGGACTGGACTAATTCTACATAAAAAAAGAAAAGAAAAAACAATAGCAAGAGAGGAAAGGAGGTAATTTTTTGAACTTCACAGGGAGGAAATGCAATTAAAAAAGTACTAAAACATTCGCAATTTTTTTGATTAAAAAAATAACGAAGTGTGTCATTTGCACTTGATGATTTAGTCCAGCCTATTTCAGAAGGGTATTGACCAAATCAGGGTCGCCAACAGCAAGCTAACCAACAGGCGATACAGCACTAGTCAAAGTAACTGGAAAGTAATTAGAACCATCCTTGACCCAAACATTCTCTGTGCATACTTGGATACTTGGATCAACTACAACTGATGATTTGGTTCCCCATCTATGCGGCCTTCCGTTACTTTGATCAGTTCTGTACTAGCTGTTGATCAGTATCTGCTGTTGCTAGCGGCGATTCTGGAGATCTTGTTTCTACCTACTGCTATAAGTGTGCTATCATTAATGATATTATTAGAATTTATAGAAGGAAGAGATGCCAATAATCGAGATGACTATTCGGCGTGTGAATCTGAGTGCACGACTGCACACCAATGAAACATATGAATCTTATTTTAAGCGTCGTATTGCAGCCGTTGTTAGTAATTATTGCGAGCAGCAGGCGGACGAATGTATGGCTACTACGCTTAGGTTAAAAAAGGTAGTACTTTTCCCTTTGCTGTTCAAAATTTTTTCAAAGAACCGCAGCCGAACAGAAGCGAAACGAAAGCGACGTGGTGACACAGTTGTAGTGGCCTGTGGTCAGTCTCACGAAAGCTGTGCACTTTTCGAAGCTAGTCTAGAAAAAAACCAGAACAGTCAGTGATGCAACGATTAAACCGTCAAACCAGATCCTGCGTTCTCAAGACTCTTTCAGCCTTTTTCGGAGCAATTCGCAGAGGGAAAAAAAATCCACAAACAATACTGCCAGAATATAACACTTCCTGAACATCCCATGAACTTTATTTGGCAAAAAATTTACGAAGAGCTAGCAAAATGAGGAGCTGTCACACAAAAGTATATAGTGTATGCCATGGGAAGAAGACAAGAAAGCAAGGTGTGTGCTGCCAAAAGGGAAATACACATTAGAAATGCTCCGATGATACAAGAACCGCAGTATGGTAGTTTAACATATCGCATCCAGATCTGAAGTCGAATGGTTCGATTCCCTTCTCGGTCCATTTGC